TTTCGTTAATAAAAGTTTGTTGCGATCTCAAATGAATGGATATCAGTGTGCAAAATGCACTGTACAACTTTAAACCACGATACGGTATCTACTAGTTCAATCTTTACGTATTACAATTATACATTAGTAGCTAATAACATTAGATCTACTTTCATTATGCAAGAAAGTTGATCAAAGATTTCTACCACAAATAATTGGCACGTAATTGAGAACAGACTCGATTCTATAATATACACTGTCATCTGATTGAACCAAATCCCAAAACAAAGAACTATTTCAGCCAATTTAATAAGCAACAGCGACCTAGTTAAAACAATGCTAGTGTATCCGACAGTAAACAACAATTATAATCGTGCAAAGAATTGTGCAATGTTAGTAACATTACTGGGTAATGACTCGCGAGTAAGTTGCCATAAGTTTTCTATTACATTTACACATTCGCACCACACCGATTAGCATTATGAGACAAAAACAGCGATGATGATATCTTTGGATATCGATACTCGGCTTGCTTCATTATATCATTAGGTACCTGTGAAATTTTTCTTAATATTACTTTGTATGCAGCACATTTCTATTACATGGAAAATATAAATATATTCCTTCATTAAAATTTCAAGTCAATTTCTCTAAGTATTCTATACAAATTACATTACGCAATGGAGAAAATTTGTCAAATAAGGAATCAAATTTTGATTTTTATATTATAACTAATAACTTCATTTAGCTTTTGTATAATACGATCTTCTTTTGTATATTACACAAATTCTCTTGAGTTAAAAGATCTGTGAATTTTAGTTATCAAGCCTACTAAAAATCGCAGATCTTTTAACTCAATTTATGTAATATACAAAAGAAGATCATATTATACAAAAGTTAAGAAATAGTTGCGTCTAACTTCAGGATTAAGCCGACATAATAATTATATTAAAATGCGAGTTATTTGTTATACTTATGTGGTATTTATTATCCCTAATCTAAAAAATCACGGGCGTATTTTTAACAGGATGTCTCAGTCCTCTGTTATATTCAGTATCAATCAGTCGATTGAAATCTTGTCATATGTCGTGTGTATGTATATGTCTTGTGTATGTATATAAAAATGTCCAACTTGAAAGTTTTTCCTTAAGTATAAACAAATAATAAAAATACAAGATGTTTTTAATGTTCGTTGTAAGCCTCTATTACTACTTCGAACGTTGCACTTAAAAGTAAAGTTGAAGAGAAATGCTGTGTCATAACTTTTTCAAGCATGTGTGACAAATAGCAAAATGGCATAGATGATTGGCGTAGTACTTACAGCAGCGTTGTAAAAGACTCCCACACGAGTGTTTTATAACGCTGTAAGTACTACTGATTACAGCTTCACTTATATAAAGAGTCGAGTCAACATGAATTTCTTGAATATGTAGTATCTAGTTCCTAATTAATAACAAAATAATAATAATATCCTTAGACAAATCACACAGCACCATCTAGTCCTAAGCTTAGGAGAGATAGTTTCTTTTCTGTTGTAAATAGATACATATAATACTCATGAATACAATTGTTTGTATCGTGCGTGGAAAGAAAATCGGTGTATTAAAACGAGGAAGTCAAATATATGCAAATAATGTATACAAATGTTGCCATTGTACGGAGATCGAATCCACTACTATCTATATGTGGGGCAGTGCATAAAACCGCTACACCATCAAGATCATAAAATAATTAACTGTTATTTCATTGAAAGTTAAAATTACGTAACTCTAATATGCTTAATGTTTGATATATTATTTTAAACCTTGATTTTTTTATCTCTCAACTAATTCATCTGAAAAACAACATTCATAGGATATCCGATATTTCGGACGTTTCGACATCATTGCCTTGTCGAAATATTGACGTACGTTCAACGTTTACTTTTTAATTTTATATTGATTATGTATAACTTACTTTTTAAGGTTTATGTTCTTGATTTGTTTATAAAGCCGAAAAAAATAATTAAAAGCGTTTGGTGGAGAAGAAAGACTCTATAAAAGGTATCTTCCTCTTTATAGAGCCTCTCTACTGCTTAACGCTAAGTTAATATAGTCAGCCTTTTTAAGCAATTGCAATTGCAAACCTTACATCTATATTTTTGCAGCTATATAACATATTATATTTTGTATTATGAATCATTAGATAGTTGTCAATGATATGCAAAATTATGTAATTATTCTAAACAGGTTATACTGTAATTTACTTGCCATATTTTACATTTTATTTATGTAACTGATATGACAAACAAGCTGAAAACCTACCTGATGGTAAGTGGTGACCGTCGCTTATATACATGGTTTGCACTATGGACACTACGTTATCCACATGATAAACATAACAGGTAACAGCAACACCACACATGTGTTGCCATTCCGGAGAACTAAGATGTTATGATTACCCACTAATTCATATCCTTCAAGCGAAGTACACCATACAAGCAAGCTGCTTGGCGCCTGATAGGTGAGACTAAGGGACCTTTGTACAAACAGCAGACGGGTAACTCCATGATATTCCTCCTGAATTAAATAAAATTAAAGCAAGGAACCGTCTTAATCCTTTTGCACCCATCGGCATCATCAGAATCCAGCTCGAGTAACAAGTCACTATATATGATATACGGAAATTACTGTTGGCAGCCCCTGATTGGAAGGAAGCTCTAAAACCAGTTTACACCGCATACTTTCTTATGAAACAGTTTCTTTTTAATTACTTCTTACTTTTTATGCACAAGTACTGCGAGAATGTACATGAATTTATTTTGACTTTGAATACAATTAAGACAGTTAAGTCATACATTAAATATTAGAAATTGAGGGCTTTGATCTAAAAATGGTCTGAAACTCTGTATTTAGATATTGAGAAAAGTGCATCAGCGGATGATGGTCGATGGTATGTAAAATCATCAAATATCAAATATCTTAAGAGTGAACGAAAGTGATATTTAAAAAACATTACGTAGACCAATTTTTCATTCTGATTTCTCTCTCTTCATTAGGTAGATATTGGAAACAAAACTTCATTAGTATCAATTATTCATTGGTTATGATATAATACGAAATCAAAATCTTCTTAAGTACTGGAACCGGCTTGTATGACTGAGTTGCCATTGGAAAATTGAGAAACCAAGAGATGAAAAAACTCTTGTTCTCTTCACTTAGCTCTTAAAGGAATTGATGTAAATAACATTACATACAACTTAATTAGGATTTAGTTTCTTATTTTATTACACAAACATTGTAATAATAATAAACATTTTAATGGTTAAAGGTGTGAAGTAGTTTGACTTCATAGTTTTAATCTATTCCATGTTTCAAATAAACATCGACGAGCTGTATAGTATTGCGTTTATAAAGTGTTTGTTTAATATTGTTCCAATATTAGTGGTGATGGTATACGTAAATATAAAAAGAAGTTAAATGATACATTCACCTACTCTCTCAACTCCAGTCCACCCGTGACCAACTTATTTACTCTAGCAATTAATTCTGATCCAACAATACGAGTTTGCGCCATTTTGCATCATTTCATACAATTGGATTATATAATATATTAATTACATAATTCGCCGACAATGAAAGAACTGACTGTTGAATTAAATCTTGAGTACTTTTCAGACCAGTACAGAACTGGATTGTATTGATATTTGACACCTGGTTAGACCAGTAAATCGCTTGTATCAACGTCGAAATACTTGAACAATTTTATCAACAATTATTCTGAACACATTCCTTGTACAGAGAAAGCAAGAGAGAGTATTGAGTACTCCAAAAGGGGCAAAAACTTTATTATATTATAAACTAGCTAACCGCCCGGGTTTTGCATATATAATTCATATATAAACCTTCCTCTTGAATAACTCTATCTATTGCTAAAAACTACATTAATATCCGTGGCGTAGTTTAAAAGATCTATGCAAACAGACAACGGAAGCTATGAAAAGATAGTGTAAGAAGTTTTTCGAAATTTTTGAGATGAAGTGAGAGAGAATATAAATTGTTTATGCAACTCAGTGACCCTATTCACACGCATAGGTCCAAAAGTAGGACTGTTTTTGTAGCAGCGTTGAATTTCCGCTTGATGTTATGTGTATATCTAAGATTAATTGTTTATTGGCTCCGAGAAGATTACCTAGTATATAACTTTACGCACTTACGTACTATAAAATGAGATCATCAAAGCAGAAAATACCACCGGCGTATCTGATCATGTAATGCACCAATTACTATAACGCTTTATATGAGCAATCAAGATTGCGAAACACCGTGATTCTTGTGCAATAGCTATCACAATTATTCGATCAAATTTTATGACGCGTGCTAGTATGAAATCCCAAATTGTTTTAATACTATGTAGGTCGACAATATTATAGTATCGCTATACACGTATCCTTGAATACTCTCGTTTTCAATTACACTTTCATGTACATGAGTCAATAATATGGTAATCCTATTTTCTCATTACTAATATTTAAATTTCTCAGGGACATAATAACGAATTATGAATTACGCAAAAAAACGTCATTGGATTTTATTACATAAATGTATATTACTTACATAGCTATGATTATCTCAACCTTTAATATCTGTAATATCTTTGTCATTATAATAGGTATGACAGTATATAACTGCAGGTCTATGTTAATATTGTTTCTGAAAATACGTAACATCTTTAATGCATGTGTATGTTTTTAACTATGAACGCGTTTATTGTGTGCTCTCAATTTTAACTTTCGAAAGTAATTGTATTGTCTTATTTGGCATCGTTCATCTCATGTGGTTATTATCTTGTTATATAATTCGTTGCTACACTTTCCTTTTACTTTTTTGTAAATAAGTATTTAGTTTCTGTTTTAACTTAATGATTGAAATAATAAACTGTTTCAACATTTGAACAATTTTATTTTTCAGCCTCAACTCAAAGTACCACATTGTACTTCCATAAGTTATATATATAAAAACAAGCAATTATATAAGCTAAACAAATAACAACAGATTATTAATATCTACAAAAGGACAGACCGACCGCGCATCGTTATATCAATGCTATGCGGACAAAAATTGAGCCCACGTAGGAACGGATTTTGTACCCACTATGGCCCTTTAGTACCAGCTTGGTAACATCACAACCTTACACGTGAGCGATCAGCACCGATGCAGTCGAGTTGCAAAATATATACACTAAAAATACTAAAAAGATCACATTTTTTTCTTAACCTATAAGGTACTAGTGTGAGCAAAGGTACCAAGAGCGCTTAATGCCAGCCATGGTGTTCCTCCTCTTTCTTAATGTAAACAGGCACGTGCACCTTCACAGGGTAGGGCACCTCCTTGACGAGGGGTACAGGTACTTCCTTGTATACTGGGTAAGGTTTGTCGATGGGTACTTTCACTTCATAAGGCACCTTCTTCTCAACAGTGTAAGGGATCTTCTTGTACACGTCGTATGGCTTTGGAACTGGGACCTTAATGTGCACTGGGTAAGGCTTCTCAACCTCAACTTTGTAGGGCTTATCGACTGGGACCTTGACTTCGTAGGGTACAGGCTTGTGGACTGTTACTGGGTAAGGTTTCTCTACTGGCACCGGGTAAGGTTTAGGCACGTACACATTGTAAGGCTTGTCGACAGGCACTTTAACTTCATAAGGTACCTTCTTGATCACTTCGTAAGGCTGGGGTACTTTGACTTCGTACTTAACTGGGTAAGGTATCTTCTTCTCAACAGTGTAAGGCTGTGGGTAGGGCACCTTGACTTCATAAGGTACCTTCTTCTCAACGGTGTAAGGAGTGGGTACTTTCACTTTAACTTCAAACGGCTTGTCAACTGGAACCTTGACTTCGTAGGGAACTTTCTTCTCTACGGTGTAAGGCTCAGGCACATAGACCGGGTACTTAACATACTCCTTGACGGTAACGGGGACCTTCTTTTCAACAGTGTAGGGTTGGGGCACGGGTACTTTGACTTCATAGGGTACTTTCTTCTCAACGGTGTAGGGCACGTGTTTCTCAACAGTGTATGGCACGGGGACTTTCTTAACGACTTCAATGGTCTTCACATGTTCATGGTGGCCATGGTCACCGTAATCACCACCACCTCCACTAGAAATAGGCTTCCAGTCACCACCGCCGCTGGAGAAACCACCACCACTGGAGAAACCACCTCCAAGGCTTAAGGATTCGTGACCACCAAAGTCGTGTCCACCTTCTTGCCCACCTAGACCGTATCCTTCAGAACCACCAAAGCTGTGTCCCTCAGAAACTGCGTAGCCGTGCCCTTCATCGCCTCCGATGCCGCTGCCACCATAGGAACCGATGTCGTAGATTCCTCGTTTGTCCTGCTTCTTATTGTCTTCAGCAGCCGCCTTTTTTGGTGCACCTTTCTCCTCGCTGGCAAAGGCCACCACGGCCAATGAGGCTACCAGAACAACCTGTAAACAATACAAAACATAAAATAAATTAATATCTTATATTCTGTTCTATCCGTAAAATGTGTAACAATACATAAGGACTTAAATCTTTTCTATTGAAATTGGGTTTAGCATTGGCGAATTTAAAGTCGGTTGAATAAAAACGAGTAAAAGTTGTGGCTATGTTAGATTTAATATGTAACGAGTTCGATCCACTAAACAGAGGCGAGTCTAGAATATTAAACGTTCACTTTCCCGAGCTTGGGAGCAACAAACAAATTACGAGAGGCTTATATCTCCGCGTTCATTGTTTACGGTAATAACAAACTACCTAACATGTTTTCCGGTATTAAAAAAGTTACGAGGAGTTTAAACAATTTTTAATTGTATGCGATTAATATTTCGTATTTAAATAATTTAATAGTCAGTAAGATGTTATTCTGTTTTATTTTAGTAATTTAAACGTTTCGTAATTGATATAAAATTCGTCTGATTGGCATTGGTCTAAAATACTTTATATCTTGTTGCGTAACATGATCTGAACACAACAGCCGGGAAGTAAGTCGGACTTTCAGTTTCACTGATTTTATCTTAAGACTTATCTTTGACTGTTTCAATAATAATCCGTTAACAATGATGTTCTTATTTCAAAGTACTTTTTAATACGCCACGAAACTAGTACCTAGCATGTCTATGGCTTTCAAAAAGAATCATCAAAATTATGTACCTATATATACTGGAACAGAAATGAACTCCCTTCTTTTTTAAATAATAAACATATTAGTTTTATAACTTTTTATAATGGCACAGTAATGGCTGAGTCTAGTATTGTAAGCTAAGACTATGCAACGCCATACGAGTACAACCTCAATTTCTAATGGGCATATTAAACCCCATTGTCCATGTATTAAACAATTGACTATTTTTAGAATAAATTGCTCGTTGTTTCGTCTGTCTCTGGAAAGACGTATACTACAATTACTTAACCCACATTTAGAAACCATGGGATTGTTTCCATGACTCATTGAGATAGCCTATAATCTAAATGTTCAACAACCCATATTTAATTACGAAACTATATCGCTAGTGAAAGTTGAATGATAGATATGAATGGTGGATTATAGCATAACTACCTTGATGTTAACTCGACTGATATTTGTTACACACATAATCGTACATGTACATATTAGATACATATATACAATACCTATTTAAATTAAACAAGCATAACTAAATTTGGCGGCAAAATTCTTGAGTGAACGAACGGATGAAAGTGAACCACAGCCAACATAAATAATATTTTAGCACAGACCATCGAAAGATATATCATATTAGCTACTGGTTAATGATATGCTAAGATTTATGATTTCACTCTAATTCACAAAAATATCTATTATGTGTATACTAAATTAAAATATCTATTATATCCGGTTAAATCCATAACTTTATATTCATCTAGTGGGATTATTATGGATACTAGCAGAGTTTAGATGCATACACAAACAGATGTTCTAGATCAAGAGTCTTTTTGAATTCAAATAAGCGTATGAGATAGGCAAAATAGATAGCTATATGCATACATTGTAATTGCAAATTTACTTTTACGGAAGCAGTTGGTGGATATGTTAATATATTTGCAGTATGCAATCTAGAGAGTTATTTACAGTGCTGTCTTAGTATTAATCTGAATTTATATTCATAAAATAAATAATGGCACTAGTTCAATATTTAAAATATACTTAATACTTAATTATTTTTTTCATCAGAGATACATTAATCCAGAAAAAATCTATTGTTAAAATGAGTATATAATAGTACTAAATTATAATATATTATAATTATATTTATAATATATTATATATCATAATAATATTTAGTTTTAATGGACCTTAGTATTATATAGGATACCATGTGCATTGGGTACATCAAAGCTCTATAGCAATTAATACAATCTAGTTTTCTTTACTTTATCGCATACTACTCCTTATTGTAATTGTACAAAATTGAGTACATAGAAACATCAATTTAATTGGTACTAAAATATTTTTACTTGTACTAATCCATCAACAAGCGTTACATAATTATGTTAGATCATTGTTAAGGAGAAAAGTACTATAATATTAATGTAGATATCTTTTAAGTAAATGTCTACATATTTAAAGTTAGTATTCAAAATATGTAATAAATCGATTTAATTGATGTGTGTATCGGAAAAAATTAAACATATAACTGGTTTTTGGATAAAATGAGGAACTAAATAGGTATATTGAACTGCAGTAATTGTAACAACGTGCACTACAATTTCCTGATAGATCCCTGTAATTTTCGAAACTTTCTCGTTTGAAAGTGAAAAGAAAATTACATTAAGAACCTGTTTTTACACGACTGAGAAAATTAGATGTTTACTTGTCAACATAAGTATGCACTCAGTAGCTTCAAGTCAAGTTGGTACCCATTATGTCATATAAAGGACATGATGAGCAAAGAAATATAAAAAAATCCAATAGGAATCTAACACTTGATTATTACTGTGCGTTATTTTTATATTGAATTTAAAATGCAATAAATTTAGTTAATGAATATTATTTTTTTTATTTCGAATAATTAAAAACGTAAACAATAACGCACTTCCTAAAATCCGCGAAACGTTCGAAAATTCAAAATGGCGCGCTCTAAATAAATCTCACTTTTTGGCACAACACTTCCACTTCACTTGATTATGACAACTCACCAAGAACTTCATGTTGCTGTATGTCTCCGTCAAACGCCGAAGACTGGTTGTGTGTGGAGTCCATGTAATCATCAGGTTATATACTTTCCCTCCCACTGTGCGAACGGCGCCAAGATACAGCCAAAGAAGGGTGAACGTTTGGATTCAATAATGACATGTATTAATTGTAAACTTGCATCTGTGATTGCAGTCCGTTTTTAAACTGGATCAATCTTCACATGAATATCACCTAGTTACCTACATATGTTCTATAACTGAGCATTTCTTACGCCTATCAATTAATCATTTAAATTATCTACTTATTTAATTTGTAACTAAGCCAGACGGCTCAGGCAACTTCTTCACAGCTATCTATCTAAAACGTACAAATAAAAATCAATTGTCTAATGTATTTTAATCGCATAATTTCAGAACAATTACATTACTTAACTAATGTATATTTTTTTAATTTTTTTGTTTTTTGTAATCATCAGGACAATGTTTGTAGGTATAAAACTAAACGTCTAGAAAACTGAATAATTTTAGTTAAAAATTGTTTATCAAAAAGAACGTTTTGATATATAAATATTAGCAGAAGTAACAGATTTACGTACTGCAAAAGCAAGATTTGGTCTTAGTTTTTTTATCTGTATATACTATTGAATGTTGAATATAATTGGATACACCCATTGCCCAGTGATCACAGTGACTGGATCAATGACACCTGCGAAAGAACGAGAAAAAATTAACCAATTCATTGACATATTAAAATTTAATAGTTTTACATACATGCCTCTAGCATTTCATGACTTATAATTGTTTCCATCTTAGTTGTATATGTTAATCAATTGTATGTTAATTAGGTTTTTAACAGGTGTAGACCAGTCATTGGTTATATCATATAAATTAATACTTATATGTACCTAAGTGTATTTGGATAAGCTGATGTTAGATGATTATGGAATAATACACCCACCTGCACTAATGGTAGTCGATGAAGCGACAACGTTGTAAGATGATAGAATGAGTCAGGTTAGTTCCGAATTCACAAGTAATAACCATGATAGTTTTAAGAGAAGCAGCGTGGAGAAGACCTAGTATGCACATTGCTAGCCATGGGTTCACTAACCGCCATTACAAACAATTATTATTATATCATTGAATAGCTACAAGCAGTTGTACGGCTCTTAATTTCAATTACAACTATCCGTACCTACTTAATTGTAAAATTGTAGATTTCATCTGTTTCAAAAGAGAATTGTAAATAACTGTATTATATTAGTTAAGTTCAACCCTTCAACATAAACAAGCTCAGCAACAGCAACAGCTCACAAAGCAAGCTGCTTGGTGGCTGAAATAGGTACCCATGCAATTCTACCTTGCTAAAGCCGACCTATATACCTAGTTTATGTAAAATCCCGGCGTTGAAAGTACAAGTCTTAAATATAATAGTCTTCTTGTCATTCGTGTTCTACTTTATATTCTTCCCCTATTCTCAACAGGGAGGTAGTGTATAATTGGTAACTAAATGTGATCAAAACTAAACTTGGACTCACATTATCGGGTTCAGTCCAGACGGCCCGTACCGAGGACGAGTTCGATTAGCGCGATGATAGGATGTAGAAACCTATGCGTTATTCGAACGGCCTCGTCCCTCTGTTCTTATCGGAAATGTAAGTACGGCCTAACCCTAAGAAAGGCCGACTATTGCTAATAATAAATTGTATCTCTCGCATATCTTAGATTATGTTTCTACTTTTTTTACCAGTAACCAATAACTGAACTAGTAACAATTTTAAATATAAGAATATTGGCTTCGCAATACACTTTTAATAATTTTAATTGTCTCACCGAACATCAAATGCGTTAAGCAACAAAATTAGTAAGTTTAATTTATTTTTGTAAGCGTTATGCTTTTAAAAAAGTAATAATATTTTAATAGCTGTACCAACTTTTTCATTTTATTATTGAAAACATTATACTAAATACATATGTGAAACAATTTAAAAAGGTATTACTTCATCACATGCATGTATGCAATAATAACTTTAAATTGGCGAACAAATTAGTTTATACATATAAAACGGAAATTAATACAAAGCCCTGTAAAATACAATAGATACTATAAGCAAAATCCTTGTAGGCGTATCCTGACCTGAATATTGCTAGAAATTATCCCCACCTCTTCACCTACCCTACTGTCTACATGCTATCTATAGATAGTGTAGTAGTAAGACCAATGAAGTTATCACATCTCCATAGTTTTGCTCTCCTAGTACTTTGTACTCCCATTATATATCAAAACAATGAAAATGCTGTCTCCTCAATTATCAAATTAATATCAAAATATTAAGTACTATAGAATACCATTTAATTTGTCATTTTGGATGTTAATAATATTTAATACAAAGATAGATTGTGTCATGAGGTCGAACATAGACTGACTATCTTTTATCCCCATAAAAACAAATGAAGTCGCGGATGGTAATTAGTTAATAATAAATTTTGAAATAAAATAAAAGAAAATATACTTCGCTTAATGTTAACAAACACTACTTAATTAAGTGTCGTTTTATTAAAGCATAACTATCAATAAATAGACAAATAGAGTTATGTCTGTATATGAGTACGATCTAGTACTTATGTATATTTAATTGCGAGTAATTCTACCAGTTCTACATTACCGCGTTTGCATCAGATGGCTATAAAATTATCCAACAGGCCGGCACTCACGCTTTCTAGGGTGTTATTACACCGTCATATATGTGGGTCTAGTCTTTCTTTGTCCTTTTTCTAGAAAAGGTCGTGTACGAGTATAATAATATTTATCATCTAAAAATTGTTATTCATAAGATATCTGAACTGACAACTTTAGGGAGCATTTCCATAGAAAAGTTTATATGCATAGATCACTACTAACAGGTTCGTGACTGTAGAGATTGGTAGAAGAATTTCATATTTTTATGGATTTTTACAAAAAATTTTGTTGCTAGAATAGTGATAAGCCCATCTGATGGTAAGTGGTAACCTATATATTTCTTTCGTAATTAGATCAATTGTAACAAATAATCACATGAATAACAAAAGAAAAAACATTTATTGATTATATTTTTTCTGTAATAACAAAATAATTTTGAAATATATTTATGGAAAATTCATCTTTAAGCGACATGTTTCGCCGAAAATGTTAAGAATACTAAATTTCAATGTCGCTCGCTATAATTTATTTAAGTAACTCCACGGAAGTTTTTATTAAGTAACAGAGTAATTAAAATACATAATATTCAAGCTAATTCATTCTAAATCTTCTAATCTAAGTTTTTTTTTCAAAAATTTCTAATATAAGGAAAATTTAATATATTTTATATAATTGGAATTGCAAACAAGCTGGTGTATCTGATGGTCAATGGGACCCATCTCCTATAGACATCATGTCATCATATAAATTGCATATGTTTCACACATTTCGTGGCCATTCTAGAGAACTAAGTTGTTATAATTTCGTACCCTGTGACACAATAAATAGAGTAAAAGAAATGCCTCTAGATGTCTTTAATCAATAAATAGCTGAAGTAAATAATATAACCTACTCGTAATTTCATTTTTTAAGTTTTTTAATTTCATTTCATTTTATTTACATTATATACTTAGATATATGTTATACAATTTTTGCTTGCAATAAATTCATCAATACTATACAAAACACTGGTCCAACAGAAAAAACCGCATCCTGACCCTTAAAAAATGTCCAAGAGTGCACTGTCCAAAAATATATAATTATATGTTTTATTTGCAACGGAACTCTAAAGTAGGCACCCATTTAATTTCCGCTAAATTTAGCGGATCTATCTGCAATAGGAAATTAACTATAAGCAATGCAATAAAACAAAGCCGAGTGGAAACAAATAAACGAGATACATGAATAAAAATTATAACAGTCATTGCACGAGCGTGAGTGATCGCCTAGTTATCGATGGAAGTGGAAGCAAACGACGATCGCTTATATAATAGTGTAAGTAGTAAGGTGTGGGGAAAAGCGACAAGTGGAGCGGAAGCGTATCTATACCTATTCTACTTAAATTTTTTTAAGGATTTATATACATTCTCAAATCAAATTTAATATTTTCATATGATGCAACCACTTCACTAAAATAGAACGAGTTTGAAGATATTTTTAGTGCTGTCATATAAATTGTATTAAATTCATTTTTTGGGGATGAAATCGTACCATTGAAGAATCTTGGACGGTATGATGTTTCTTTTGAACTCTGAAAATTATATTTCTGAATTCACTCATACTAAGATATATGTAAGCTATATAAGATATAGTATATAACATAGATTTACATTAAAAGTCATTATACAACTTACAATAAAAATAAAAATACTTACAGGAGATATACACATATACAAGATAACTTTGAAATAAACTAATATCCAATCTTAAACCTATTTAGCTGTTCATGTAAATAGTATTTAAAAAGATATATATATATTTCTTATAATATTTTACTATGTGTATAGGTGAATGGAGATTTATATACAGTCACTAAATGAACGCCTTCATAAGCAATATAATAACACCTTTACCTACATTGATCTAACAAACAGGCCGTAAATCAGGTCAATATTTTAGGGCTATGTTGGTATAAAGTTGTTACATGTAACAATTTCATCTTTACCTAGCCCACAGAACACTTACATCTTTGTCTAAATCTTGTCGTTTGAATAAAGAATAGCCTATGTATCATAGAAACTACATTTTAGTGAAAGTTCAGCTTCGAAATTTATAGGCAGACAGACAAAAAAAAGTGAAGCTCTGGTTCATACATTGAGGCTTTCGTACCGATCATTACATTTATAAAGAAGAACATAATTAACAATAATACCAACTTCAGTATTTACAAAATTATTTTAATTAAACACAATATACATATATGGCTGTGCTGTAATACATAAACATGTATGGATATTCCACAATAGGACTAAGATTATTTAGCTTTTATTACATTTATACTTAATCGGTATTTTTACAAATCTCACAATACATAGCTAGATTTGAAAACGATTGCGTTTAAAACATGTTTTATTTG